GAGTAAAATTGTTTTAGGTATTCTTCACCTTCTGTCCATATGATGAAAATATCATCAATATAGCAATAGTATCTGTATGGTTTTTGTGCCATGTTGTTCAGGAATTTTTTCTCCAGGTCAGCCATAAATAAATTGGCATATTGGGGTGCCATTTTACTTGCCATCGCAGTAGCCATACATTGAAGATAGATGTCTTTATTGAAAGTAAAGTAGTTGTGTGTAAGTATGAATTCAATGAGCTGTGTAACATCCTCAGCAGTGTATATGTGGTTTGGTGAGGATGATAAGGATCTGTGACATACAGCTAATCCATCCTTGTGAGGGGATATTACTATACAGGGATACTACATCCATAGTCACTAGAAGTGTATTAGATGGGAATTGCTGTATGTTGTTGATCTTGTTCAGAAAGTCAGTTGTGTCTTGCAGGAAACAAGCAGTATTCTTCACTAACAGTTTTTAAAATATTTTCTACAAAGCCTGAGATTTGTTTGGTGAGTGTATTCATACCTGTTATGATGGGTCTGCCTGGATTTCCTGGCTTGTGGATTTTGGGCAGCATGTAGAAGAAGTTCCCGATTTCTGTGATCAGTACTGCTTTGACCTAAAGAAGAGGACACTCCCCGAAAGCTTGTCCTCAAAAATTGTTTGTTAGTGCAGATAAAAAAAGTATCATGGACAGCACTCAATTGTTTCTGCAGCAAATGCACTAATACGGCTACAATCACCTCAAGCACTATACATTTTTTATAACCGAATGCAAAAAAATTTTTTTTTTTTTTAAATTTTCATTCTTTTTTCATTTTTATATCACAAAAAATAAATAACCCATTGGTGAACAAATACCACCAAAAGAAAGCTCTAGCAAAAAATGGGCTGGTCCTTAAGGGGTGGGGGGGGGGGGAAGTCTTCTGGAAAGCAAGTGGTTAAGAAATAAACCTTTTTCATTTATTACTGTTACATTAGTTGATATTCATTATAGATTATAATTTTGATTTTACTTTGTACAGTTTAACTAGGGCGGCACTGGTTTTAGTATTACAAATGCCTGGTTATGTGCATAGATTACTAGTTTGACCTTTTGCTGCTTTCCTCCTCTAAAACGTTATACTCCAGTCAGACCACTGACATGAAAAGTGAATAACTTTGATTATCTCATTACAATGGCATCTGAACGTTGATGGGATATATTGTGCAGCAAGTAAAAATGTTGTCCTAGAAGTTGAAAGCAGAAAAAATGGCCATCACAATTTGTTGTGTATGAAACTGCAGACTGGTTAGGGTGCCCATGATGACCCGTGTCCACAACCAAAAGTGCCTATAATGGGCAGCAGAGCATCAGAACTGGACCACAGAGCAATGAAAGAAGGTGGCCTGGTCTGATGAATCACATTTTCTTTTACATCTTGTGGATGGTCATATGTGTGTGCTTTGATAACCTTGGGCAGAAATGGCACCAGGATGGAGTATGAGAAGGCAAGCTGATAGAGGCAATGTGATGATTTGTTGGTAAACCTCTGGCTCTGTAATTCATGTGGCTGTTATTTGACACGTACCTCCTACCTAAACATTGTTACTGACCACGTTCACCCCTTTATGGAAATGGTATTCCCTGATGGCAGTGGCCTCTTTCACCAGGATAATGTGCTCTACCGCACTCCAAAAATAGTTCAAGAACGGTTTAAGAAACACAACAACGAGTTTGATGTGTTGATTTGGGCTCCAAATTCTCCAGATCTCAATCCAATCGACCATCTGTGGGATGTGGTGGAACAACATTTCCGATCCATAGAGGCCCCACCTTGCAACTTACAGGATTTAGAGAATCTGCTGTTGACAGCTTGATGCCATATAACACTGAATCCTTCAAAGGTCTAGTGGTGTCCATGCCTCGACAGGCCAAGGCTGTACTCAGTATAGTCATAAAGTGGTCATAAATATGGTCATAAAGTTATGGCAGGTCGGTGTGTGTGTATATGTGTGAATGTATGTATACTCTTAGATTTTAAGCTCCAAGGAGCAGGGCCCTCCTAACCCTCTTGTATTGAACTGTATTGTTGCTGTATTGTCTCCCATTATATTGTAAAGCGCTGAGCAAACTGTTGGCGCTATATAAATCCTGTATAATAATAATAATTATATGTATATATATACACACACACATACAAATATGCTCTCAGGCTGTGACACAAATGCAACATTTTAATAACTCTCAATTGTCAGCTTCCTCACTCGCCTAAAATTAGCACAGTGTTAATACGGAAAGGCTACAAATGATATAATCCAATAGGCTTAACTGAGTTAACAAGGCAGATATTATTGAGCGGGCAGCAGAGTCAGTAGCAGCGTGGTGAGTGAGCCAATCAGAGATGAGCAGTGAGGCCGCCAGTCAGCGACAGAGGGGATAGTCTGCTTTGAAGTTAATCAGAATCAGGGAGTCACCTGCCACAGTCTCCTTCTTCCTCTTGTGTCTAGGGACTGCAGCTGGGACCACGTGACTGCCAGCAGACCGGTATTCCTCCTTCCAGCACTGTCTCATAGTTCGGTTACATGCAGGGCTTTGGGCAAGCATAGCAAATGCAAAATCTATACACAAGTCTTGCTACTCTGGCCAGCACCATGGACAGCACCAGACACAGTCTGCTCATAGCATTATAAAAACCACAGGCGGAACGTCATGCAGCTTCATGATGTCTCATGTAGTGAGGATTTTATCTGGAGAATCAACCAATTGCTGAAATGTCCTATAGCACATCAGACAATTCCCCCTTTGCAGCATCCTGATGGATTAACTGATCTGCGGTGAATGTTAATGAAATATTGAAAGGGAAGATACTGTATATATAACTAGTAGTAATAAAGGAGAAAGACCTTCAATTCAATCAAACAAGGTGATGATATAGCAAAAAGTCATTTGTATGGAAATATACGCATGTGGATAGATGTGAGAAAAAAAAACATTTAAAGTATATGAGAACCATTACCCATGAAAACAACCCATTCAGTCTGAATTGACATGAAAGGCAAAACGTATATATATATATATTATATATATACATTCACGCGCGCAAACATTACAAATACCTTTTTTTTAAGTGATTACATATTCTTTGTTACAAGAGCCCATTTACAATATGGCCGACAACACTGTGACACACCTCAGCAGACGTTTTTACGGCATTATTGCAGTAAAGGCCTCTTTCTGGCATCTCAACCATGCAGCTCATTTTTGTTCAAGTATCGTTGTACTGTGCTCCTTGAAACAACCACACCGTCTTGTTTTAGCTATGGGTTTTTCTTTGTATCCCGAACAATTCTTCTGGCAGCTGTGGCTGCAATCCTTCTTGGTCTACCTGACCTTGGTTTGAAATCAAGAGATTCATAAGATTTCCACTTCTTAATAAGTGATTAAAAAGTACTGACTGGCATATTCAAGTTTTTGGATTTTTTTTTATCCTTTTCCATCTTTATAAAATTCCATTACCTTGTTACGCAGGCCTTTTGACAGTTCTATTCTGATCCCCATGGCTCAGATTTTTTTTATCCTTTTCCATCTTTACAAAGTTCCATTACCTTGTTACGCAGGCCTTTTGACAGTTCTATTCTGATCCCCCTGGCTCAGTATCCGATGCAGGCCTGTTTGTCTGCATCGGATTGCATAGTACTGTAGTACCAAACAATCCAGTTGCAGTGTATTTTTTAAAGCAGTGTATGCACTACTTTTGGTGCAATCCAGTGCGATTTCAGCCCTTTCAACTGAATGACACAGCCCAAATAAAAAAATATAAGAAAATTAGAATAAGTCCAGGAAAGCAAAGCCCCAAATTAAAGTCCAGTGTCCCAAAAATGTGTGACAAAAAATATATACTATAACAAAAACTTCACAAATTTTCCAGTGTGCTTACATCATCAGTGATAAATCATTTGCTCCACAATCACCAAATACCGTGAATTCTCAAGCTGATATAGGTTTGAGAAACAAAAAACAGTTTCCTCAGATGTTATTTCTCCCATTAATGATTCCTTACTGAATCTCCTTCCAGAGTGGCTCCACAGCGAAATAAAATATAAAAGAAAAATGCCAATAGTATAATGCGATATGAGGGTCAAAGAAATTTTTCTTAAAAGACATTCCTTACACTCACATTAGGTGGGTTTAAAACCAACTTCCATGGATTCACATACCTTCTAAACAAACGTAGTGATCCCTTCTTGACTTCCTCCAAACTCTCACTCATGGATGGATGGATAAGGGTGATTCGATGAATTTGTAACCAGCTTGTATGGACAAAAAAGCCTCCCAAGCTGCCGCTGATGATTCCTCCTTGATTTCCTCTGAACTCTCGCTCATGGATGGATGGATGAAAAAATGCAAAAGAAAGGATACCAAATAGCGTAACACTGTATTAAAAACTTTTAATAATAATGTGATGCTTCAAATGCACTCACATTTTAAAACTGAGTAACAAGACTTTTTTAATAGATCAGGACTCCTTTAACCACTTGCCTACCAGGCACTTATACCCCCTTATTTACCAGACCAATTTTCAGCTTTCAGCGCTGCCGCACTTTGATTAACAATTTGCGCGGTCATGCAGCATTGTACCCATATGAAATTTTGATCATTTTTTTCTCACAAATAGAGCTTTCTTTTGGTGTTATTTAATTGCCACTGGGCGCTTTACTTTTTGCGCTATAAACAAAAAATTGCAAAAAATTTGAAAAAAAAAAAAAGGTTTCTTTGTTTCTATTATAAAATTTTTCAAATAGGTAATTTATCTCCTTCACTGATGTGCGTTGATGAGGCAGCACTGATGGGCACTGGTGGGCACTGATAGGCGGCACTGATGGGCACTGATAGGCAGCACTAAAGGGCACTGATAGGCAGTACTAATGAGGTGGCACGGATAGGCGGCACTGATAGGCAGCACTAATGAGGTGTCACGGATAGGCGGCACTAATATGCAGCACTGATAGGCAGCACTGATAGGTGACACTGATGATGGGTACTGATAGACGGCACTGACTGGCATCACTGCTGGGCACTGACTGGCGGCACTGACTGGCACACCCGCTGGGCACTGACTGGTGGCACTGACTGGCAGCACTGCTGGGCTGCACTGGTGGGTGGCACTGGTGGATGGGCACAGGTGTGTGGCACTGGTGGGCACAGGTGGGTGGGCACAGGTGGGTGGCACTGCTGGGCACAGGTAGGTGGCACTTCTGGGCACAGGTGTGTGACACTGCAGAGTGGCACAGGTGGGTGCATTGCTGGGCACAGGTGGGTGCACTGCTGGGCACAGGTGGGTGATCTGCTGGGCACAGGTGGGCAGAGCTAGTGGGCGCACTGCTGGACACAGGTGGGCGGAACTTGTGGGTGGCACTGCTGGGCACCGATCATCAGGGCACTGATCATCAGTGCCCTGATGATCGGTGCCGATCCCCGCTCTGACAACTGCCGGTTCTCGGCAGTACTTTCCTCACGACCTGACAGCGTGAGGAAAGTGCCGCCGAGAACCGGCAATTGCATTTCCCTGTGATCAGCGTGTCATTGGACACCACTGATCACGTGGTAAAAGGCCGCTGTGATTGGCCTTTTACCACATCACGTGATCAGCTGTGTCCGTAGGACACAGCGATCACGGAGATTGCCAGGTGCGCGCCCCTGGGGCGCGCAGGAGAGCGCGTTCTGGGAGGACGTCATATGACGTCCACCCAGAACTGGCCGGCTGCAGTGCAGCTGTCATTCGGCTATCTGCGGTCGGCAACTAGTTAAACAGGCTCCAACATTTCCAGCTAAGCAGACACAACTGATCAGAATTGGCAGTGAAGTGCTGGCAATAGCAGATAATTCAATTTGTATTTCCGACACTAAAGATGGCCGTGGAACACTGCATCAGCGCGTGTTCCACTCACCGGATATGACGTTACACGTTCAAGGTCGGACCGGAAGTTACGTCAACGTGTTTCGCCCTCCCACAAGGCATTGTCACGGACCATGAACATTTACACAATATATCTATCGGATGTAAATATCACAGTGTGTCATTTTAGAAAGTATCATAATAGGGATCCTTCTTGGGTTAAATTTTGGGGAATCAACACCATCCCCCGTTCTTGGCGAGGTTCTAATAGGGCGAGGGAATTATCTTAAAGGGAAACCAAATGGATTTTCCTTAGTGATGCTTTAATACCTAATGGCTTAAATTTTGAACTAGATATTAATTGTTTTATTAGTGATTATTGATTTAATATGATTTATTATTTATGGTTATTGTCAATTACTTTATTAATTTATTTGTTGATCTAGATTTGTTTATTAAATATAAATTTTTTATTATTTATTTAATTTAAATTAGTTTATTTTAATGTAATTTTCATTTTAATTTTCATTTTCATTTTTTTTATATAATTCCTGTCATTTTTTATTTATTCATTTAATTATTTGTATGTGTGGTTTGATCTTGAATATTTAAGTATCCAATTGGTTGCATTTTGATCTTGTGCAGTCAGTTTTGTTATGTATAGAGAGAGGTTTTAGAATGCCCATCAAACTTATTATCGATTAATGTTATGTCATCATAATTATATCCACAAGATGGCGATCATGAGCATTAAATTCCTAACCAATAGTATACCAAGTGGCCTTATATAAGGCCGCCCTCTTTTACTATGGTCACACCCTTAGAGGAAGTCGGATATGAGGAAACGTGTCAGGGTGTGACCATTCTGTGATGTCAGCAGGGACCACGTGGCAAGAGCACGTGATTGTTGTTTTAAGATCTTAGTTACCAGTGTGCAGTGAGATTGTCACTAGCTGCTGTGGTCGGCGGCCATTTTATTGGAAGTATATATACAATGTGCATTACCATGTTACTCAATGTGAGTGCTTTTCTTAAGGGTTTTTTTTTCTTAAGGGGGCAATAAATGATTGTTTTTACTGTATCACGCTATGTGGCTGTTTTATGTTGCCCACATATGGAATTGATATTTCCCAGTCTGAATGAGGAGGAGATCGGAACATGAGATACTAATAATCTATTGATTGGAGGTCCTTTTGGGCTGCTGGCTGATTATCAAGTTCAAGATTTCACAACCGTTCATTATTAAGGAGATTGATTGAATTCGTAATAATTTTCCACTGCTGGTTACTCACCAAATTCTGATGAGTGTTGAATCCAATGGGGTGTTAATCACTGCAGGATCACATGGATGGTGGATCACTTTATCTTGAAGAGACACTTACCACTGGAATGAATTGAACTTTTTCACATTATAATTTTATTTTATTTTATATTTTTTTTGGTGGAAGTTTTTTTCTTTCTTTTATCCTTTTATATCAATTGGACATTGTGTTTTGACATAGAGCTGTTTATGTGTACTTTTTTTAGTCACTGTTTATAGAATAATGAGTCATGTTCAAAGCAGAAGATGAAATTTACTATGTACAGCCAATACCTCCTGTGGTTAGAGAAGAACCCATGGAACTCATTGGAACACATGCCAGTTGACCTGAGTCCCCATATCCCATGGGTCCCAGTTGACCTACTGAGCCTTAACCTGTAACCATTTGTAGAATGCAGAGCCATGCATGAGAGTGAGCTCCAAGTGTGAAGAGTGGTTGATCTGCTTACAGATCAGGGGGATGGAGTGGAATGGGTTTTAAAACTGCCATCCATGAATATGTGTGGCAGACATGGAGGTCTGTGTGGGCTCGGGGCAATTAGAGTATGGTGGAGCTGCTCTTGTATAGCCACTAGCTGAAGGGTTTGGCCATGTGGAGGAGCTAGGGGGCGCCTATAATTATGTATTACATGTATTGTATGAGATACTTTAGGTATGAGAAGTACTGATTATGTTTTTTTGTAATTTTGTCCTGACATTTTCTTTAACCCCTTCACACTGGCGCCTCCCGGCCCTTTAAGAGTTTCAGAAGCCGGGAGGCGGGACGGGCGGGGTTTAGGGATCATGTGACCGCCGTGACGCGTCATCACGGCGGTCACATGATCGGGAAAGGTCCCAATTGAAAGAGAAGACCGGGACCTTTCCGTGAGTACAGGACATGTGTGCTGGGAGCTCGCAGGGTGCGCACTCTCAGCACATATGTTTTTTATAATTGTACGCAAATGTGCGGCCAATCGGCGTCTAGGCCCAGACACCAGGAGGCCTCATATTTATGTGCGGCTGGCGTGAAGAGGTTAATTTCTGCTTCCCTATTGACTCCAAGAATGGGGAAGTCTAGATTGTTGCTGAAGTTTTGTCTAAGCCATCTCCAGTGAAGAGCTGTGACTCCCTGCAGCTATCAACTTTGCTGTAAAGATGTCAGAAATGTAAATAAAAGGGGCCCAAAATACAGATTACTGCTGATTACTAGCAATGGTAACAACAAAGGGATTTCTGCATGGTCTAAGTCTGTTCTACCTCACAAGAATGGAATCTGATTGGTTGCCATAGACATATCTCCTTGTTTTACACTTGGGCACATTATGAATAGTTCGTTGCACAGACAGCGTCTGAACAGGGTGCTCCTGGGGTTCACAGCTGGACAGATAACTGACAATTATTTAAACATATGGCAGATATGGTTTACTATCTTAATTGGTAGAATCTCCCAATGGGAACATTTAGTGGAAAAAACATCTTTAAAAACTTAGCAAACAAATTGGAACATCTGCTCTGGCAGTCCCTGGAATACACATAGTTGACACACCAATAGCATTTCCTTGTCATTACTTCTTTAATAAAAGCTCTTTATGGCATTGATAGAAGAACCTGTTGTGCAGGAGAATTCTACTGAGGTCCTCTGTGTTTACTGATATACGCAAAGTAATATTGCTTATCTATGCTCCAAAACAAAAAGATAGTTGACTAAGCGACTGACATTTTTTTTGCCTGTTGTTCCTGGTTTACCATGTCTTATGTCTGCTAAAGTATATAGTCTGTATTATGGATGAGGAACAGATCTTTTACAAGTAGAATTTTCAATAAATTCTATATCTAGTAGTATATAGTCACATTCAACTGGACTTGATCTGTAATGTTGAAGACATTTCATAGCTTGCCCAAGCCACTTCTTTAGTTCTAATAGTGTCAGGTAAATGCCCTAATATTTATATCTAAAGAGGTCGCACCATTACCCTGATCCAATTATCAATGAAAAACAGATGTCTAAGGCAAGCCAAGGATGATGCAATTGCTTGATTCCCCCATCAACACAGTCAGCATTAATGGAGAATCCCTCCCAAAGTGCTACTGTGTTCTGCCGGTGGAGAGAATTTCCTACCGGCAGAACACAATCATTACTGCTGTCAGCTATAGCTGTCAGCAGTAATCACATTAAAAAATCCAACAGGCTGGTTGCACTGAAGTAGATCGATGGATTGACTTCGGTACAACTAGCCTGCCCATAGATGGATCAAATCTCAGCTGGTCCCTGCTGAACTGGCCAAGATTTGATCGATTTACGGCTGGATGAATTGTAGAACCACCATGTACTAGTTAGCTAATCCCATTCTTGGTGTCAAAGGCTTCATTTCAAATTACAAACTTTTGATTTGCATGGCTTAAGGTGTGAATTGTTGTAAAAATGCCAGGGTACAGATGTTAGAGCGACATTTTATGTGGAAGACAGACAGGGGTTTATTTACTAAAGCTGGAGAGTCCAAAATCAGACTCCCTTCTGCATAGAAACCAATCAGCTTCTAACCTCAGCTTGTTCAATGAAGCTTTGGCAATGAAACCTGGAAGCTGATTGGTTTCTATGCAGAAATGAGTCTGATTTTGCACTCTCCAGCTTTAGTAAATAACCCCCACAGTGTCAAAGGTCCCCACCTTCTGACATTTGTTAGAACTGAACAAGTGGCTTGGACAAGCTACAAACTGTTTTCTACATTACAAAACAAGTCCAGTTAAAGGTGACTAATTACTACTGTACTAGACATACAATGACCTGGAGAAATTAGACCCTTCACAGACAATGTATCACATTAATTGTGTGGGCTGACTTTTTGTTTCTGAAAGGGAAGACATCCATACATTCTGCATATTTCCCATATTTAGACTCACATATCAAATGCTTATGCCACTAAGCATGTGGCATACTCATATTTTTGTTTATATGGTGAAAGATCAGGAAGGAGCACAGGTGATACAATCACAACTAATAAATGGTCTGAAGAACCCCTTTACCAGTGTATTTGTAAATGTTCAGCATATTCTATATTTGCAAACACATGAGACTTCACTTCTATTTGCAAATGTGTGCAACAAAAACCTTCATATTGTTTTGTATATTGCTCTACCCTTATGCACCTTTGACATTTTTTGCC